GGATTTTGGAGATTTTCTAGAAGAATATATGATTTCTATAAATTCATTAGACTCAATATATAAAAATTAGTGTCGGATCTAGATTAGCAATTATATTAGGCTAGATTTTATCGTAGAAAGGACGAGAGATTTGGTCTGATTCTCTATCTTCTAATCTCTATTTCATTCTTTGTATATATTTATTCTATTCATCTCTATATTTTGATTTCTATGCATCCTATATATTCTTATCTATTTCTCTATCTATTTCATTTTATCTATCTATTTATTTATGTCGATTGATATTTTTTCAATATTCGTCTTTTTATCTAGATATCAACCTTTATATATTCATTATCTATCTATAGATATTTGTCTATTTATATTATATTTCATATCTCTCTCTCTTTGAGATATATATTTTTTTATTTCTCAATCTTTCATAAATTTCGTTCGATTTTATTGATTCTTATCTATATAATTCTTGAATTCGTTATTTCAATATATTTGATTTATTATTTCTATTTATAAAGGATTCATAGATTTACTTAATAGAATATGAAATTATTCATTTCATTTATATATATCTATTTGATCGATCTAATCAATTGATCATTATTTCTCAAATTATTGATTGATTTATGAATTTATCTAATTAATGCATCTCTATTTATCATTATTCTCTATTTATCATAACCTAATTTTATTCAGATCTTGAATTGATCATTTAATCATGCGAAATAAATGCTATTGAATCTGAGTCGATTAATCATTTTTTATATGATTCATCAAGGTCTTTCGTCTTTTTCAAAAATCTTCGAAAGGATATCATAAATATTTATCATCTTCTAGATTTAGGATATAATCTAGTAAAATATTCGATATTCTGATCTCGATATATTCTATTAAATCATGATCGATCTATATCAATATGGCGTCGATTTGTATCCGTCTATCATCTATTATTTCCCAATAGAGATATCAAATTTTTTAATATCTTGATCTATCTATCTTAGATATCAATTATTCTTTTCATCTTTGTCATCCGATATATTTAATTCATTTAAGGAATGCTAAATAATAATATAGAAAAAATACGGAAAATTGAATTTCAATGAAATAAATTCAAAATATAAATAGATAGATTGTCGTGAAAAAAAAGATCTATAGATATCAAAAAAAATGCAAAAATATCGAATTTCAGAAGATAGCTGATTTAATTTTCTATCAGAGATTAAGAGCAAGGGAAGAGGAGAGAGATCCTTCAGACGGATTTGATCGAAATGAGATCTGATCTATATCTTTTTTATAAAGATTCCCATTATTTTCGTTTGATAGAAAGAATCATGAATATTTTCTAGATATTTGATGAATAATTTCATCATGAATTTCATCGTTTAATAAAAACGATTCTTTCTATGAATATTTTAAATAAATTTCTGATAGAAAAATTATTTATCAATAAATATTGGCTAGGAATTTATAGAAATATGATCGAGAAGAATTTCATTATATATTATATCTATCTTTCGAATTTAATTTATGAATTTCTATTCATATTATGATCAAGATAGATTAGATAAAGATGATGGTAGAAATATTCAATTCTCTTTATATAAGATAGAATATTAATATATTTGATCTAGAAATACGATTATCAGAAATTGATTTGATATGTCTATATCTTCAAAATCTATATTTCGATATTTTGATTCATTAATCTATCATTTAATATTTATTATAAAGATAATGAAATATCTTGAACCTTTATATTTTAATTGATCTCTCCCTTAAATTTCCTCTAGATTTCATTTGCCTCCTTCAAGATCCTTAAAATCAGAAATCAACCTCCAAATAAGATTCAATTTTTTCAATCGATTGCGGACCAATATCTTATTTAAATCATATATTATTAGATTCAATTTCTATATATTAAGAAAATTGATTTAATATTGCTCCAAAATATTATAATCTGAAAAAATTATGATAGACGGGCATTTAGCGCACATAAATAGGGAGGACCTAATATTATAATTGATGATTACCATACATATATAGATCCTTCTAAATTATTTTCTCTAGCAATTTATTTCAGAAAGCATTAAAAAGAAAGATTTGAAATTGATATAAGATTAATTTTCATAAATAATTTATCTAAACGATGATAGATCGATATCATTATAGAGAATATTATGAAAAATACGAAAGATTATTTAAATAGATATCTTTTATATGATCTCAGAATCATCAATAAGATTTCATATTTCTGAATGATATATCAAATTTCTAATTATCAAGAAATAATATATCTATTTTCAATGATATTGAAGAATCATTATGAAAATTGATATTTATTTTTCAATAATAGATTATGTAAATCATCAATATTAAAAAGAATAAGTTCCTATATCGATAAATCCTAATTCCTATCAATGAAAAGAAAAATTCGCGATAATAAGAAGATTTCAAATTTCTTATCAATATAATAATGAATAGATATTCTTCAATATTATATTCCGATCTGAGATTCTTGTTATCTATATATGAAGATTTTGAAAGAAATATTCATATGAAATTTCTCAGAAATCATAATCAAATATATATATTATCCAAGATACGATGAATTATATTGAATTCTGTCTGAATAATCTATCGAATATCTATATAATATATTTCCCATTTATATCTTTTTTCAAGAAGATTTCAATATCTATAAGAAATTTCAATAGAATCCATTTATCTTGAAAATACTTAATTCCAATATGAATTTGAAGATTTATTGTTCATGAATCAGAATCCTAAGATAAAATCAATCAAAAATATCTTATGAGATATTTTTTTCTTTATCTCATAAATCATATTTCGATATTGAATTAATTATTGATATATAGCCTAAAAGAAATATATCTTTAATCTTTTTAAAGAATATTCATAATATATCTAAATTGATAGATTCATATCCTATATCTATAAGAATATTCTACGATTCAATTTTCGTATTTTCAGATTCATACAATCAATTTTTATAAAATATAGAATTTCTTCATGAATTGAATCAAATTCATTTGAAAATTCATTTGATAATTCATAAAATAAAATAAAATGATATAATATTATTTGAATTCATTACGGAGATAGATTTTCATTCTTAATTTATTAACCTCATTCGAGTAATGAAAATACATTTCATTTATCCTATCTTTCTTTTTGAAATTCAAAAATAGATCCGCCAGATTCTGACCATCATCCATATCACGAGCACTTCCCGAAAAAAAAAATTATAGAATATCAATTAGATTCCATGACATATATGTATATATATATCTTTAAATGAATATATCTACATTTCTTCGATATTCTCCTTGCAATTACGAATGATGATGAAAAAAGATTATAATTTATGAGAATTTTAAGAATCGAATTATGAAATCGAATATTCTATATCTTTCAGAAAATAAAGAAAATCTATCTCTTCCCGTATATCTATCTTCAAAAAAAATTATCTATTCATTGAAATTTACGAGAAATTCAGGACTAGAAGAAACCCCACAAATTTTATACGATAGAAAATCAATTCGATATTAAATTATAGAAAATAGATGAATAATCATATCTGAAATCAAATATAGAATTCATCATCTAGAAAAAACAAAATAAAATCTTGGAACGATCTAATCTATCGATAGATCCGATAAATGACAATTCCAATACCATAGAATAATATATCATGAATTTTCATAAATCATTATATCATTAAATCGAGAGAATATATAGAATCAAGAAATATATCTATAAATATACGGTCGACAAATCAATCATAAATAGTTCATCAAATTGACAAAGAAATCAATGAGAAATCAGAAGAAAGATAATATTGTTGATAAATTAGTTATATGAGAATTAGATAGAAATCCTTCTGCTATAATTGAAAAGATTACCTAATGATATATCCAAATTCCCGAAAATAATTTATCGATAGAAATAGATTCAATTAAAGATATATAATTCCCCGAAAAAAAGCAGCATAGACCATGAATACTAGATAATCCGACCGACAAATTGACAGAATCCCCTAAGCCGACAAATCAAAATAATGAATCTAAATATACAGAGATTAATAAAACGACGCTGTAATCAATCGATAGTCGAAGCAGAAAAGAGAAGCGGGGGGGGGGAGAAGAGATGCGATCAAAAATCATAGAGATTTCAGATCCTCTAGGCCCTAAACTTGAGGAATTTTTGAAACCCTAAAGAGCATGCAGAGAAATATTTCATAAGAGAGCCGGAAAAGCTAGCCCCCGCGCGAGCAACATAGCCTCAAGTGGCCGCACCATTTTATTCGGATACTCTCATGTTATCTCTCTAAAATATCTTTCTCGTATAGAGGTCATCTGCAAATAGCGTAGCGAATGCATGACATGTTTGATGGAAGAATTTCTTTCTTTTTCAAATAGAAATGAAAAAATCTGGAATAGAGGTGAATATTCGTCGATATATCTATTCGAGAAAGATTTTGATTGATTCCTGATTTCATCAAAAATCATTTTCTGGGCTAGGTGTATCTTTGGTCAATATCCCAGTATTCCCCTGCTCGTGCCACAGCAGCGCAGCGTAAACCTCGAATCACAGCGTTGCCGACTTGAAGCTATTCAGAGCTGCACTATGCTGCACTGCACCGGGTCATGCAAAGAAGCGCTTGGCAGAGAGAGGAAGCAGGGATACTTCTGGCTAGTGCGGGCACCGACGCTTGATTATCTTTCCACCCATAACGCGTGCCCATCCGAGCTGCCAAGAGCCCCTGCCGAAGAGGACCTCCAACAGAAGCTATCCTGGATGATTGATGCTTCCAAGCAGCGACATCTCATGGGAGGCAATCACACGACCGTCAACTCGCAAAATGGCGGATACTGTATGAGGTTTGGATGCTGGCAGTTGAGACTTGGTCTCTTGCAACAAAACGTGCCAGACATGCTGCGTGCTATTGATCAGCAAGACACGAGATACGTTCTGAATTTCCAGCTTCACAGGTCGAAGACCAGGCCAAGCATCTGAAACATTTCCCTTGGAGACCAGATGACTGCCGTGCAAAGGTCTGCAGATGCAACCTTAGTTGAGAGATACAGCTCGGCTTCTTTTCATGGCGTGTAGATAGATGGACAGTTAGATTGGTAGATATGATATATATATACATATACCATAGGTCACGTGCCTCATGGCTGGACATCATACGGCAGAGAAACCTAATCCTATGGCAAGGACATCCTGGAATCACTTACGTGGCTTCTTGTCTTCTTGAAGTTCTGCTCATGATGTGGTTTCGGGTGAAGCTGCCTAAGTGGCACGTTTTGTCATCCAGGGGTTAGGACCCTCAACCCTCCCACTCCAAGCGGTGCAGGATTTGAAACTGATGCACCACCAACTACAAGACGCTGCGCATTCACGCTCTGAGGAGGCAAGCGGGCCAACAAGCGCCGCCACCAACAAAGGAACATGAGCATTGATCAATGCCAATGCAGTGTCAATCTCGCGCCTGCTTTCACATAAGCTTATTATAAGGTTCAGACCCTCTTGCCACCAGATAAGCTTCAAGACCACACTAGCGAAAGTGGATCTTCCGAATAACTCAACACGAGAGTGGCCGAAGAAATCTGTAGACCTTTGCCCTCGAAACTACAGAAGTCAGCCTAGCAGGCCTAGCAATCTTGAGAAGCCGAAATGCGCACCCAGCGTTGAAGAATTGTCGCTCGGCAGCCATCATGCAAGACCTGCCCAAAGCAAGGTCAGGGATACCTGGGAGATCAAGATCTTGAAGCAAAAGCATCTCTCTGGAGTATCACTGTCAAGTCAACTTGTTGGACTACTGGGTACCCATGCTTCCCCAGTTCGTCCCCCAATTGTGCAACAGCCAGCTTCTGCAAAGCATAAAAATGCAGAACACGAATTTTGAATCCCTGCCCAGTGGTCCTGTTGAGGACAGCGCCGCTTCCAGGGACCGATGACTCCTCGGCTGGGTGAAATCGGAAAGCCTGACCTTCTGCGCCCACCCATGTCTAAAAAAGCACAGCAACTCATGGTGCGACATCAGGCCGTAGCCTGTGGACCGCTCTGTTCATCTGCAAAACTCCCTGAGACTTACGGCGCGCTTTGTCGTTAGGTGTCTCACTCGTTTAGATCATGCCACCCATGTGCAGCTCTTTCAGCTTTTCCGTCTCCATGTGTTTGTCAAACAGCTAATAAATTCTGCAAGTAAATGGTGAACACGTCGAGCCGCAGCTACCCGGTTTCCAAATTTGAAACCATGGGGCCCCTAGTATGGGCCCTTAATCCTGGGATCCTTATATACCTGCTATATGCCCTATATGCCTATATGTTAAGGGCCCCTAAACTCCCCCTAAAAGGCCTAAGGGCCCATATTAGGGGCTCATACTTCTAACCCCAGACGTAGAGTACAGCACTGCGCAACACGCACAACTTGTACCTTCAGCAAGTTGTCAAGAGGATTAGCACTTGAAGACCTGCTCGAAGACGAGATTCTGAAGCGGTGTGCACCCAACAAAGGCCAGCACGACGCGCACGTTGACGTGCTTCCCTTGGCGCGGAAACATATCAAATTTCAAGCTATGGGAATGTGGCACGAAGTTTCACGAAGCCAGTGAATGACGTTCACGATTCGCGTGAATGCTGAGAGCACTCCATTTGGTCTTGCAGGGCGAGGAAGCTACGCTAGAAGCGAACGAACACATTTCAACTAGCAATGCTGGGTTGGATTCATGCGAAGCCAATCGATAGCCCAGCAGCCTTGCATTCAATGCATGGTTTCAAGCCTGTCTACCACATTGTGTCATGTTCTGACCACTCGTCATTGCACCGATTGAGGGCAAGGAAACCTTGGAGGACAGTGCTTGTCCGTCCAGCCTGTGGAGCGAGTGCCTCTTGAACTCCAGCCAGGGCACTATGCCGACAACATCTATCTGAACATGATAGCTGAAGCAATATTAGAGGACCACTGTGGGCGTCGTGCAGGCTGAAGAGCGCACGACTAGTATGATTCACTCTGCGCAAAGATGTAGTGGCATCTCACCAAAATGACTCGGAAAAGGCAAGGCCACAATAGCAACCTAGGACGACTGAGACAATCACGCGCTTGCGTGGGAACTTCCAAAGACGCAATAGCAAGAAGAGCAGGCCGTAAAACTAGCTACATCCCTTGTAGGTGTGCGTGGCGCACATTTAGGCAGTAACATTTTAAAATTCTTTAGGCACCGCGATACGGCAAAAGCAGTTCCTCAACCTGCTGCTACCCCCACAAATTCTGCAAGTTGATAGCTTTTCAACACGGAACAGCCGCCCAGCGGCATCTCCAGCTTCACCAGCGCTGCGCGGGCTTCGTTGCCTGCGCTGTGTTCTTTCCCAAGGGATCTGGCAGTGTTTCAAGACTTCTGGCCGCAGCGGTCCACAAAACAAGGCACCTAGCAGATCTGCGGCATCTCTCCACAGTGCCAGGAAATCAAAAGTCGTATTTGCGGAGCGCTCCAGATCCTGCGCCGCCTCCCCGGTCTCACCCACAGACTCAAAAAGCCGGGCAGCTTTCCAGTGAAGCTCCGCGGGCAGGTTTTGCTTGGGAATCAATTCATTGCAGAAATGATGCGAGGCCTGCTCCAGCTGAGGGGCGGTGGCTTTCAGCCCCAGGCTGAGCACAGCAGGAGCTAAGGCAGTGATGTCTTGCATCAGGCTCTCATCAACCGGCTCCGGTTGCTGCAAGATCTTCACGAGCTGCCGCACTGAATTTTCGCCATCCTGTCTTACTTCATCAGAGTACATCGCCTTGCAGCGCATGTGGTGCGCGCCTGCGTGCTGGCTCTTTTGATGTGCTGATGAACAAAAGGTCTCATGCTCCAGAAACCGCTCCACCGTCAGCCGGAAAGCATATTGCGCCTCGGACCGTTCGTGGATTGAAATCATGGCCATGACCATCTCCCACACACGAGGTATCCGTAATGCCTGCAACGATGAGCCACCCCGCCAAGTTGTCCGCCGAAACTGCGCTGCCAGGATTTCGCTAGCGGCTCCGTGCCATGCCCGTTCCTGAGTCCAAGCCTGCACGCTCCCTGCCAGGGCACTTCGAAGGGAGATGGAACTGGGCATGGCTGAAAGGTCTTGAGCACCATTGCTACTAGACAATATCAGGTGACATTGGCAACTTAAAGTCGAATCGAACTGGGCTTGGAGATGGGTGAGAGTGGAGGTGGCTGGAAGCTCGAACTCTGCAACCTCTCGGCCAGACAGTAGCCATCCTCTGACATGGAACCTGTTGAATCTTCAGCAATGACATTGCAAGACATGGTTATATCTGAGTCCACAGGCAGTCTTCAAGAACACCAACACATCAGCGGTACAAAAGCCTTGCCTCTCTATCTCCATGGATGACTTGGCATCCAGAATATCAGCAAACATGCGTTGGTCTTGCAAGTATGCTGCGCTGACATACCTCGCGGCTATCCTGGGTGTTGCATCTCGAATCGAAAGATTGATCTGAGACGCTGCACATTCCCCGTACTTCAGACCCCGAAGCCAAATTACAGGGTCCTGTGATGCACACAAGCCGTGTTTAAAGGCCGGCAGGCTACATTGATAACTGCAAAAGCGAGTAACATGTTTTTTGAAGCCAAAGCTCTGCACCACCATCCTGGACTCTGAAGGTTCCACAGGGCGAGTCTCGCGAGTGTCGCCATCATCTGGTTCCCTGACCCGCAGCAGGGGTTTGGGTGGTAGGGGGTATATCATATCAGATGCTCAAAGCCCTTATGGTGACGAGCTTTGGCCCCAATACAACAAAGTCAAAGCGGCAGAATTGCAAGTGCAAACACCATTGAGTCCTTACAGCAGACTTGGACTTGTGTGCCTTGCAACATGCTAGATTCCGGAAACCCAGGGGCAGCCCGAACAACCGACAGGGTTGTTCCAAAAGCAGCCATCTGTGGCCTTGGACTGCGAAGTTCCTGGTCACGCGCCATCGGCTCTGACAGCCTGTAAGGGCTGGATTTTGTGCGTTGCTCTCTTGCAAGCCTGGTACAAGATTCGGCGGGTCCTTTCGCTCATACTGGGATGCAGCACTCGAAATCTGGAACCTTCCACAAAACAAGCAGCACAATGTCACAATCCTTCCTCTTCAGTTCTAGACGGGCGGCCCACACAAATGTGCAAGGACACAACTAGATGCTAGATCACACCAGCGTCGTGCAATTTTGCCCGTACCTGCAACAACTCGCTGAAGCCAATCCTGGCATTAAACACGCAAGAGAGAAAGAGTTGATGGCCTGGCTCTTTGAGAAAGCTGCTTGTCGAACAGCTTGCGGGCACACACAAGGCTCTCCTTGCTGCGGCTGCGGCATTGAAAATGCTAGAGCAGAGGTTTGAGTTCAGAGTGCTTTAAATATTTCATGGACCTGGCTTTTAGCAGCGTGGCATCTAGAAAATGCGTCTGCTGTCACCTGAGAACCTCCAAATGATATTCTTCCGATCACAAAGGCTGGGTCCATCTGGTGCCCTTTCAATCCCTTTGCGTCTGGCAAACTTTAGCATAGAACATCCTCAGGGAAACAATGGTGCCATGCCATTGCAGGCTGCGGGCAAAAAGGACTCAAAAGTTGTATTGCCCTTCTGCAAGCAAGGCTCCAAGAAAACCGCTCGAGCCTCACCATAGACTGGCCAACGCTGATCTGGATCCTTCTCACAGCTTCGCACTTTGCTGCGTTCGCAGCTGGTTGTTTGTGGCTGTTTTCGGAAAACCTTTCAGCATTTGTGAGTGCAGTTTTGTGCTTGTTCTTCTCAAAGATAAACCACGCACACCCGAAAAGCCCTTGCTCATGACTGTTGCGCTTGCTGCAACTTGGCGGGCATATTTGGCAACCCAGCTGAAGCATCAGGCAGGGCACGTTGGAGGCGTGCTCCAGGAGCTGCAGGCCGCGGTCCAGAAGCTGCTTCGAAGCAGCAGCTAGGCTCTGCGGTGTCCTGGCAGCCAGCTACTTGTACATGCCAGTGTGGTGTTTTTGGGGCCGCCGATCGGCACATAGGGCTGATATGGGCTGATGCTGGCCGTCCTTGCCATGTCTGAGCGGCGCGCAATCCCGTGCACAAGTGGTGTGAGGTCAGGCACCCAAGAAATCGAATCCGTGTTGTCCTTCCCAGTGCTCGGATGGCTGCCCCCATGCGTGGCCATGAATTTCTGCGCAAACTCGGAATCCAAAGCCCCGCCGCCCTGAAGCCTCAATCGCTCATGGCCTAAGACTTTTCGTGCTGCTTTGTGCTCCCGGCCAGTGCGCAGCTGCAGCTCTGACCACAGCCAGGTGAGAGCTTGTTGCACCGAATCCAAGCTAACTCTTGGGAACGCCTGAACAGGTTGTTTCTGCTCCACTTCGCTGAATAGCTTGGCATATGCCAGATTGCTCTCCAGGAAAATCAGCAAGTTCTTTTCAAGCCAATGCTTAACCATAGGATTCCACAGCCAGTCTGGGCCCGATTCCACGAACGCGCACCCAAAACGCGCGCGGGTTATGGCCACGTACAACGCTTTGAGATCATGGACCAGGGATGACCTGAGCGAGCGGCAAAACCAAAAAGGATTTGACCGGACTTACGTGCATTGTTATCGTTTTTGGGAGTTCGCCTTATCGTCGGCCGTATCGGCCGTCCAACGATTGAAGTTGAATGTTCAATTCATTCTGGGGCTCATCTAGCTGAGCTGGTTGATAGAGCCAGCCCTCGTTCCATGACGCAATAGTAAGTGACTTTCTTGTATATGATCACTGGGACACCGAAATGCCTGAGGCCTTGCATGCTAGATTTTGGGACAAAGGTCTTTATCGTTTCGTTATCGTTTTCAGCATTCCCGGCACCTGAAGCAAAACATAGAACACAATGGCAAGCGTAGGGTTGGACAACAGGTCATTGCTTAATCGCTGACGTTGCCTTCAGACAACTAAGGACTCCTATGGGTCGTTGCCAAAGGACACATCATGTCAAATTTGCAAATATCCAAAAGAGTCACACGTGGTCGTCTGAGTGTTGAGCTTACAAAGCTCCTAATGAAAACATTTCTTACGTGCTATCATTTTTGGGAGTTCGCCGTGTGGTCGCCCAGTAAATCCTAGTCCATGTTGACCCCAACTGGCAGTGCTGGAACCATGTCGTCGTTCAATCCCGTGTGATTTGATGTCTGACAACCAACATAACAAGTCCTCCCCTAGACTACCTTGCTCTTCGGAGTGTTTTGCCTGTCGCTCGACCTCCTGAAGCTGGCAGCGTGAGATCTGCAGCGGGCAGTCTGTGTCGGACGCTTGTGGTTGCGGGCTTTGCGTTTTTCGAAGAACTCTTCGACAGCGTACCAGGAATCACTGTTCTGGCAGTCCCGGAAAAAGTCGCAAATCACCACGAAGTCAAACTCCAGGCCTTTGGCCTCTGCCACAGTCAAGATTGTGCTTCGCAGGCCTTCGCAGACTTGAAAAGTGCACCCTGCCAATCTTGAATGTAACAATCGCAGACTCTTTGCCCCTTAGCAACGCTGAGGTCAAGTGCTCCCGAGCTTCTTTTCACTGTTTCTGTCTTTAAGACAAGATGAAGTGCTCAAGGCTCAATAGCTGTTTGGAAGCTTCCTCTTTGGACATTGCTGCTGGCAGACTCTGGGCTGTTGCTTGTGTTCCTGGCTGGGACCAGGGTGCTTTTGCTACGTTGTCTTGCCACGCGGCAATGAAACGAAGTATGTGGCGCGGCACGGAACTCTACAACGCCGATCGGCTTGCTTTCCCAGTTTATGAACCCTCCCCTAACTGACCGCATTAGCTGTCCAAAGCCAAGATGATGCAAGCGGAAATCTCTGACATGAAGAGCTACAGTAAAAGCTAATCGAAGAACCGAAAGCGTCATGCTGTCAGCTTATGCAGTCGGCTTGGTAATTTGAAATGCTCAGGCTTGCTCCCGAGTCCATACTTGGAATCATAGGCCGGCCATCATCACGTTCTGACTCCTGTTTGAAGGATAAAGCAAAGTTGTCGCCAAGAGGAATGATGGTAAGTGAAAGTGTCGCGCGGTTCTGCTGACAAGGAATGCAGACAAAAATGCTTGCAGCAAACCTCGGAAGCATCTGTTACGCACAGATGCTATGCACAAGTCAAACAAAAAGATGAATTAGGATACGACGGAAAATTTTCAAATGCAAAAAACACAAATTGTCTGGGCGCCAAGTCAGGAGCTCTCGGAGCTTGTGGCAAGATTAAGAACCTCTATTATGCGCTTTTTGTTTCCATGACGAGCTAGCAGGAAATGGCCCAAAAATCCACAAACCAAGGGGGCTGTTTAGCAGCACTGAGACAGTTTAAGGTGATTACCGCTGTTGTGCCTGAAGCACGGAGGCGCTGGCGCGAAGCATTCGAAGCAACCAGGACGACGCCAGTCGTGGGATCGATACTGCTTGCACGGAGCGCACCGGTGCCCATGACCTGACTTATGGGTGCAAAGCGAGCTCAGGCTTCAATGCTGCCCAAAAAAAAGTATTCAGCAAAGAAGAAATGCGACGACAAACATGGAAAGAGACGACGTCCACAACATCAGGCGAGTACACAAACAGAGGCGGCTTACCACCCTGGTCAGATGCAGACATCTCCTCCACAGCATCCGCAGCACATGGGAACATTTGCAATAGAAGTTCTGACACGCTGTTAGCCAGCTGCACAATCGGCGTGGCAGAGCGGAAGTTAAAACCCAGTGACATCAAGCAGCATTTCTCGGCATCATCCCACTTGACGTCTGGATCGTCTTGCTTGTCAGCATGGCCACCGCAAAAGAAAGGTTTTGGCTCCAATCGCTGAAAGGCATCGATAATGTCTTGGAAAGAGAAAGCACTTCCAGGATTGATTGTCTGACATGTGTCGCCTGCGATAGTGACCCCGCTGGAATCTCCACACAGGGACATGAGAGATGTTAGTTCAGCTGGGGAGAAGTCCTGGGCCTCATCCACGTAGATCTCATGAAGAAGCCTTTGCGTGGAGCAATCGGCCAGCAAGCAACTTCAACGTGCCTATCAACCATCCCATATCCCAATTCTTTCATCTGACCTGTTGGAAAGCCCTACATAACCTCGTGCAGCTGCAGATCCAGGAACGCTTCCATATGAGCATAGCGAAGTGCCACGGCCACATCAGTACCATCAGAGGCATTGTTGGACATTTTGAGGCGCAGATACTGCAGAAACATCCCTTGGTTGGTGGAAAGGAGTGGAGAGCACAGAGATCAGATTTTGAGCATTCTTGATGGACCTGATGGAGTACTCAAAAAGCACTGGGTGGGGGGGCACCAACCTGAAAAAAGAATCCATGTTTCAAGTCGTGGCACGATATATGCCGTGCTGCTGCTGCGGCTGCAGAGATACTCCAGTGGAAGAAATGCAGCCGACCCCTGCTAGCAGGATGTGTCACAGCAAAGCGAACCAACACAGACCACGCATCAGCGCGAGCCTTCGCAAAGCTCGCGGTACTGCTCCTGCGTTAAGGACTGGCCAGCGTTGTCAAGTGTTTGCATCCTTGGGCAGTGGCAGTTGGCAGTTTCTGCACAACCTTGAAAAACCCCAGACAACCAAAACTGCTTCTGCGTAGCAAACATTCTGATCCCAAGCCTTATGCAAAAAAATAAGCTGCGCACTACTTCCAATTCCAACCCGAATTCACCGACAGCTTCCACAAAAGCGAAGCAAAAAGTCACAGCCTGCTTCCAAATAAATCCGACTGGCTCTTGATACTCGGCATAGGACACATGGCCTTTATGACTGGATAGCACGGCATCGAAGCTCCGCAGTCTGTTGTGAAACTCTGCCCACACCTGACAAGCGGCGAAACATTGGCTTAGCTCGTTTGGGTGGGAAATACAGCCATCTGCAAGGTCTGTGGGCTTACGTGCTTGTTGCTTGGCAGATTACACCAGCGCCCTGAAGCAAAGACGAGGAGCCAGAAGCGGATCCAAGTTTGATCCAGCTCGGAGAGACGGCCAGTAATGACTCAAGAAGCACGAATACTGAATGGCCGGTTTAATCTGTGGGAGCAAGCCCTGAAGCAACTCGTCCCAAGTGACGCCTAGGTCGCTGAAGGCTGGGCAATTTACTCTGCATAGCCTTGCGCAGTGAAAAACCAACATAACTCGAGGCACAGGCGATCCCCCCGTTGCTGTTGCTGCCCAGAAGATCCGAAGCCCTGCGTGCGCTGCAGAAAGTCTTGAGCTGCTGCCGCACCTGCCAGCTCCAAAGCAAGGGTAGGCGTTCCTTGTTCAAGTTTTTTCTCAAGCTTCTGTTCTGAGAGCGCACCTCTGTGCACAGCAATGAGGAGCGGGTTACGAAGAGTCGGCGAGCGTTAGGAAAGCGCCGCTGCCGATGCAGGATGCGCTGGATGATGCACACAGTCTTGCCTGTGCCGGATCGACCCTGAAGGAAGAGGCTGTAGGGAAATTCAATGATCTGCCGCTGCAGCCGTGAAGGCTGGACAGGTTTGGAAGCCGGAGGCTGACCTCCATGTTGCGAGATAAGTGCCATAATTTCATCACTCATCACATTGCTCAACGTCTGTACTCGGCCATGAAGCCATGCAAGAGCAGAGCTCTGCAAAGAGCTTTCACAGATTGCTTGCGACTTCCAAGATGCTTGCTGAACGTCCTTCCATAAAGCCTGCAACATTTCCGTCTGCACTTCGCGCTGGTGCTGCTGTAAGGTAGCACGTGCTTTGAGCAGCAGGGCTTCTGCGCCAGCTAGCTCTTCATATACATCCGGATCGGCGCACGCAAAGCCTTCAAAGGTCACATTCCCGCCCAAGGCTGAAGCAAGCAAGCTTTCTTGTCGCGTGCGAGTACAATAAGAATGCAGTCCCTTTCATAAGCTTCAAGGAGTCTGAACTTCAGTCAGGACCCAGCGGCCCTCGCCCAGAAACGATGAAACACAGGGCACATTGTAGGGGTGATCCTGCCAGGGCAGCTGATTAATCTACCCAGCTGCCAGTCTGCCAGCGCGAGGCATTGACCACAAGCTACGTGGGCAAGACCAGCTCTTGCATCCAATGTTGCAGCCTACTTCTTCTGGTTCTCTAGAACGGAGGTTGCGAGCTGAATTGTAATTTGCAGCCTACTTAGACCTCAGGGCTGGTCCTCTGGAAGTTCTTCAACCTCTGGCCACCGATGGCGTTCAGCCTCCTTGTGTGCCGTGCACTGCAAGGCGCGGAATTCTGAAGCCTTAGGCCAAAGCCGCAAGTTTGCCAGCGCATCCCTGAAGCCCTTACAGTGAAGCTCACAAGTCCAAGGTGCCAAACTCCAGCTGAAGGTGTTCTTGCCCGAGGCCAGCGAGGCCAGCGAGGCCATGGAAGATCTTGGTCTTCTGAGTTCCAGTCATATACCAATGATTTAGGGTCAGCAAGTTTGTCTTCCCCAACCGGCGCCTATGCATCAAGATGATGCTCATACATGGACAGTTCAAGTGATTCCAGGTTCATGTGGAAGCTTGTCATGGGATCTTCCACAACGTGACAGTAGTTCCTGGAATGACTGTTGTGGATACCATTAGGCGCCTTGCAACTTCAAAGCACGGCCAGGTACTATGGCGGACTGGTCATCTGTAAATGTGCTCACATGTTGAGACCTGATCTTCGACTGAGAAGTCTTGTAACCGGTGCATGATGAAGAGTTCTGCAAAGGTCTGCAGCCAGCAGCTGGCATCGACATTGGGACGAATGTCTGATACTGCACACGCTCCTCTTTTTACGTTCTCCCTCTCTGCGGCGCACGCTGCAAGGAGATTTCACCTTCTCAGTCGACTTGTCGCAAAGGCCTTGGCATCCTCGGCAGAAGCATGTAGAGATCTCGTCACGAGAGAGAGCACGTAAGCGCTTATTCCGCGGCGGAAAGCCTCACAGCCTTGGGCCTCTGAGGCTCTGGCTTCTTGGAGTTGAGGTTCTCTGCAACCTTTGCCTGACAACGAACACGGTCTTCGCTTCCAACGCTAAGACGATGAGTCAGTTGAGTCTTTGTGCCTGCTTTGGGCCCATGCGCTTCCACTTCAAGATCTCTTTCCTTGGCTTTGCGGTCAGCATAAGCAGCCTATCTTCCCCACAGAACAGCCGTATCAAAAGGCTTTTTAAGAGGGATGAGGCCAACTCCGCGATGTGCCCGAAAAGCTACATCGAGTGGGCTTCAACTGCAAATCTTCTGGCTGAGAATCTTTGAGAGCTTCTTGCGGGGCTTTGGCATCAAAGTCGAACGAATGTTGAAGCTCAGGGGCACCCCACCTGGCTTGAGTTGCGAGACCAGGTGGCCAGCATGAGCTGCTGATACTCATGTGTCATGCGCTCTGATACTCATGTGTCATGCGCTGCAGCCGGGGATCTGGGAGTTAAAGGGTCTGCTGCCAAGTATGCAGCTGAAGCAAGCATCACGGATGGGGCAAGCGGCTGATTCGGAATTCATCGCGCATAGCATTCTGCATCTGCTTGATGTAGTTCCTAGGACTGGTCAGCGTCGAGCATACAAAGCATACTAGTCAATGCGCAAAGCTGCAAGTTGGCAACCACGACTGGTGGCTTACCCCCTTGAACCAAGGGGCCTCGGGAACTCGCCGTAGGCAGAGTTCGTCCAAAGCACAAAGGTCGGTGGCCTGGCCTTGAAGCGAGGTGGGCTGCGAATTGATCGCAAGGCGCCGTGGATGTAACAAGTCTGTAGACTTGATCCTAGTGACCATGACCTTTTGGAACATTTGAAGCGCACGACCTCGGATGCTCATCCTGAGGATGGAGCGCGTGTCTGGGTCATGTACTTGACGCTGCACCTTGGAACACTCTCATTGAGGTACTCTCTCCTAGCCGGAGGAGGCTGGCTGATTTGGAGAGCCAAAAGCCCAAGAGGAAGGAATCACAGAATCACAGCACAACTGGCCGAGCACGCGCTCGGTTCGTTGTTCGCGCTCAAAGTCACATGTGTCCCGGAGCAAGCCTTCGCCAGTCTGGCTGTGACAAATATTGGCAGCAAGGACACCATAGTCAAGGACATCCCCTGACCGTATTGGCATGAAAAACGTGAAGCCATTCTAGGCCTGCTGGGTCTTTCAGTCAGCGTTTTTCGATTGGCAGAGTACAGAGCAAACTTTGGCTTCTTCAGGTCTGTCAGAGACGAGGACCAACAGGCATCCCTGACATCAACAGGGCATGGCAGGTCACTGAAGAACGAGCGTAAGATCGGGCGAATCAACTTTTGGTTCTCAAGCTGCTTCTTGTCATTTTGGTGGCACTGGGGCATCTGCGAAGAAATTCTGAAGTCTGCTTTGGAAGATTCTGTTGGGTCTGGCTGGGGTCATAACTCCTTCAGGATTCTCGTCTGATAGCATTTCTCCCCGTCACTGGGAGGTTGTGGTTCAGAATCGGCCATCGCCCTTCCACTCCGAGGCACACTGTTCGAGCCTGTCTTGTGCGGGGAATGTCTCCTGCTTTTTGGTGACCGAGGCGGCTCTTCCCTACCGGTCTCAGGCAGGTCGAGGTCTGCTTGAGTCTTGAGTTTTTTTGTGATCCGCGAGAATATATAGCGCCCATCCACCTTTGCAAGTTAGGAATTCAACCAAGCGTGGAACCCCTGCCGCAGGCCTTGAATTTTGGAGGCCCGGAGCCAACATCTCTTTCTTTCTTTCTTTCTTTCTTTCGTTCAGGCTATGGAGGCGAGATTGCTCTCACCTCCGGGCTTCAATGCCCAGCCCGTGTTGGGCTGTCAGGTTCAACTACCCCTCGTGGTTTCAAAGCTTCCAACATCTCTTTCTTTCTTTCGTTCAGGCTATGGAGGAAGGAATTGCTTCCCTCCCCCGGGCTTCGCCGCCCAGCCCGTGTTGGGCATACTAGGTCCTACAGCACCCCTCGGCTCCAAAGGACGGTGGGCAAAGCGTTACATTAACATGTTAGGAGCCCCTAAGCTAAACAACAACAAGTGGTCCTTTGGGGAATGCATGGCTAGCCTCGGAAGAAACTGTCGAAAACATGCGTTGCCTGGAGGTTGCCAGGTCTGGTCTAAGTTTGGATTGAATTAGGATTGGATTGAATTTGAGGCTTCTTGGTATGGTCTGTATGCAAAGATTTGTATGAATTACTGGAAGCGGTGTAAGCGCGGATTGAGTGGATTGTGCAACGAATTTCCACCGGTTTCGGGGTGGCTCAAAATAACTTGGACGGATTGAAGTGTGCATTTAATTTGTGCCACTCATCTGTTATGCGCCTTTGTTGCTTGCGTCAAAGGAGGACATGCTAAAGTCAGCTATTTTCCTCATTTGCCCGCTCCTAGGCTGTCGACATCCACGTCTATGGCATTGGAGGGTGCATTTGGCCTGGTGGTGGCCATTTTCCTGAAGTTTGAGGATTGCCTCAGTGGTGTCCTTGCCAGAGTCACGGTCCAGTAGGTGAACTTGTCCCTCGCCCAGCGTAGTTGGCATGGAGAAGGAGCAAGGCGTGGTAGTGCAGGGTTGGGTCACACCGTACTGGAGCGACCTCTGAATCGATCTTGGCCAGAGTGATCAGGGTGTACACGCGTAGTGGGTCAAACTTGCCCGGGGTGATTATGGCTGGACCACAGGGACAAAGCGC